TGCCTGAGTCTGGAAATGAGACCACGTCGTAAAAAGCAGTTGAAGCTAGCTTACCTCTGACACTCTTCCATGCTTCAGAGCGAGGTAATAACAGATCCAGGCAGGTGACATGATGTGAAAAAAGGGGGAAAAAAGCAGTCCTGCACCTTAGTAATGATAACGAACTAATGACATTAGCGTGTAACTGGGCCGCTCCTGGAACAACAACAAACAAGTTAGTCTGTAATGGCTGCCGACTACCGGTGTTCTGAAAAAGTTTGTATCCCTGAAAAATGTTTACCCACCAGAGGGGGCGCTCCTGAGTAGGAAGTAATCTGCTTTTCCCCCACAAGATGGCCCAAATCTCATGTGAAGTCTCTGACTTTTGTGTTGGCRCCTCCTGGTGGACTATGTGTAAAATGCCAGAATTCATATGATGCTGCTACAGCTGATGTATATATATATATATGTTGTTAAAATAAAATAAACAGTCCAATGATCATTTTACTGATATGTATAAAGACTGCAAAGGCTGAAAAATCTTGAAGTCTGTATGAAATTGGAGGTAGTTTGAAGATTCAATTTTTAATGCTTTTTAAGCTCAAAAAAAGGGGGTCGTATTATACATGAATAAATACGGTAGTTAGTTTTTTGTTTGTTTTTAAAAATATTCTAATAAGAAAAGCACCACTCCTTTGGAAACCCAGAAAAAGACTCAAAATATTGTAGTAACTATGCCAGGTGGTGCTGTACCATAAAATATACCAGTAACAAAGAACAAGATGTTGAGTGTGAATATAACTCTTACATGTTGGATGGAAACCTGAGGACTATAAATGTAAAGTAGGAGTAGAATTTCTACACAAAAGTGCAGGACCAAAGAGTCGTGGTCAAATAGACATAATGGAGGTCTAGTATACATTCCCATTCCCCACATTTTTAATTGTGTACTCTTTGTACTTTGCAGTTTTTCCCTGCAAGTATTGTTAAGAATTCAGTAAAGTGCTAAAACCTTTTTTAACCTTAGCTTCTTTGGTGTGACATAAGAGCGTTTTGCTCTTCCCTCCTTATGGGATCTTTAGAGTTCGTTTATCTTGTCTGCTCAATGACGTAACACAAGATTTAAAGGTTTTACTGCAGCTGAGAAACTGCAGCATAAACACATGCATGTCCTCACTGTGCTTACATCTGTCAGCTTAAAGAAGGGTCTTTGCATAGTTTTTAAAACATTGTTTTTAGGCTGTTCACAGAAAAATCTACAAGTGGTGTTTAAGACCTTTTCACTGTACAGCCAAGAAAAACATTTTAGAAGGTTTTAGTGTATAAATACTGCATGCTATTTTGATACCATATTTGGGCAAATTTAAGACCTGGTGTTGATCTAAAAGTTTTTTTTTAAGTTCTCAAATATGACAAAAGGTGTAGTTACATTTTGACTGTTATTGCATGAGTTAGAAATTCACACTAAGCTTTTAATTTCACATTTTTTAGATTAGATTAGATAGTTTTTATTAATTTCATAAAAAAAACATTACACACAACAAAACAATACAAATAAAATAAAATGAAAGGCAGCAGAAGAAAAAATTTCTTATGATATCTACCCCTTTTAAATTAAAAATATAGTATTTCAAACAATGATAAACCAAATAATAAAACAAAACAAAGATTTAAATTCCTCAAACAGTAACTAATACACATTAAACAATTTCATATTTCTTTAACATTTTTTCATTGATTGTTTTCTTAAAGAAATTCACTGATCCAATGCTTTTACAATCATCATCCAGATTATTCCATTGTCTTATAACTTTTACAGAAGTGCGTCTGTCCTTCAAGTTTGTTCTGATTTTTGGTTTAACAAACATTTGTAATCCCTTCAAATTATAGCAGCTTTCCCTCTTAACAAAATGTGATTGGATGTTTGACGGCAACACATTTCTATGAGCCTTATACATAACCTGCAGAATGTTATAATCAACCAACTCATGAAATTTTAACTATTTTAATTGATGAAACAATATATTAGATGGGTGATAAAAATGCTTTCTTGTAATAATTCTTATGGCTCTTTTTTGTAAAATAAAAATAGGATTAGTAAAGGTTTTACATGCATTTCCCCAGACTTCTATACAATAAATCAAATGTGGAACAATTGTTGCATTATATAGTGTAATTAAACATTTAAACAAAGGAAGAAGCACTGTGTGGGTCTTTACTTAGATAAAAATACAGAGACTTTTTAATTTGGTCAAAACTTTGTTGAAGACTGATCCTGTTCTCAACCCTGAGCCATAACTTTTGTGTTCCTCAGGGATTGAATTGACTGGGGAGAAGGACATGGACCTGGCCGCTCAGGTTCAGGAACTATTGGAGTTCCTCCACGGGAAGCAGCAGGAGGTTGATCTCAGTGCGCAGCACACGCACACGCGACTGGAGCAGAACCTGCAGCTACGCCACCTACAGGCTGAGGTTAAACAGGTAAACGTTCACAAGGCATCATTAAAACATTACTTCAGTTTCTTCTCCTTTTGCCTCTCAGCAGGTTTACCAGCTGCCAGCAGGTCACAGGCCTGTATTTAATCAAATCTGAAGAGATATTCTCTGATCATAAGCCAGAGAATTCAGAAAAGAAAAAAAAATCATCCTAAGTAAACTATGTGAGCCTAGAGTGGAGATAGATCAACAAACTGTTATTATTAGAACTTTAAAAAAAATGAAATAATAATCTCATTATGGAAAGACTTGTCTATGTTGAAGAAATGTTAACACCCACCCTCCCACTCCCCGTCACAGCCAAGATGTTTCATCAGAGATGTGAACATGCTGTGTAGACAGGAAGCACACCAGACTCATACTGCTGCAGACTCCTGCTGCTGCAGCTGAATAATGAATGTTGTTTATGGTGACAAACACATAACTCATACAAACACAACCTTTGCTGCTCATCTTTTCTATGTTTTCCTGATCTGCCTCCTGAAACCGGACGTAGAGATACTGGGGCAGACCACAGCTGAAGAGGTTAGGACAGGAGTCAGCTCCTCTAAATCTGACGCCATGTTTCTCAAGCAGGAAAAATATGTATTGATTCATCAAAGATTTGACTTAAGTGGAAGAGTTCAGAATTTTGCAGACAGTGTACAGGTGCTGGTCATAAAATTAGAATATCATGAAAAAGTAGATTTATTTCAGTAATTCCATTTAAAAAGTGAAACTTGTATATTATATTCATACATTA